TCAACAACATCCTTAACATTATTTAACATCAGAAGATAAAATTATCTTGTAAAAACTAAGAATAAACTTTAATAAAAATAAAAATAGGTTACCTTGAATGTCTTTAAGGCATCCTTTATCTCCTGTTTTACAGCCTTCTGAGTTGTAACTTCATGATGAAATTGTAATGCGGCATCTGAAAAATAATTAAGTTAAGAGATTTTACATTCAACATCACTTTGTCAACCATTAACTATAAGACCCCCCCCCCCTCCATCCATGTAATGTCGTCTTTAACCTAAAATCCCCTCTCGGAGACACCAAACCAAACAATTTTAGCCCCGTTTTTCTTTGTTCTCCAGCAACGGAGTCTGAACACTTTTATTATTGTGAACCCATTTCAAAAGTTAAGCAAAGAATATTTTCATATAAAGAATTAGTAACTTTCGTTAACAATTAATTGTCATTCTTTTCAGAAGTTTTAATATATAAAAACGTCTTAGGACTCCCCGACGGTTTTAACCTACAGATCCTTAAATAGATCGTAAGAATCTTTTCATTATAAAATTTGTAAACCATTGTAATAATTTATTTAACATTATACATTTCATTTTTTTAGGAAATAAAGAGTTTCTCTGCATTATCTATTTTCGATTTGAGGGTAATCCCGTTGTCTAACTGTTCATTATTGAGAATCTTGCTATGATCCGGCAACACCCTTATACAAAATTCAAAAGAAAGTGTTATACATTTTTTTTTTAATATGACATCTTTATTTCCAAGCTGATTCAGGGAAAACACAGACAAAGAAAGCTTTTCAGATAATACAAGTTCTGAGGGTTCTAAGTTGAAAATTATGACTGAACAATATTTTGTTAAATAGTATTGTCTAGTACACAAGCACTTGTCTAGAACGCCTTGTCCTTTTAGTACACTTGTCTTGTACAAAATTTATGAATAAGACTTGAAACTGAATTTATGTCCTTTATAAAGCTAGTGACTCAGTGAGGCATGCCCGATTCAATATGCTACCTTAAAGAGTTTACCAAAGTAAGCGGAAACAATCAAAATATGAATTCTTTTCTACAAATGTTGTTAGGTTTTTAATTATTATATCCCATTCACAGCAATACACATTAAACCCTAATCTAATAAATAATATACAAAGATACCGTAGTTTTTATTTTCCCACTGTTTATGAAGCAAAAAATTCGCTAGTCACTTGTGCAGAGAAACAACAAACGAAAATAATCAGCATTATGAATTTGAACATGCTATTCTTTCAATGAAAAGTCATTTGAAAAAACTTTTACTGTCCCTTCAAATGACAGTTGGTATGAAGTTATCAATCATAAATGGTGACCCATGAAAATGCCAGTTAAAAGACAATGTAAAGATCATGTCTTCGATCAATTTTGTATGATTTGAGACATTTACTTGTCATGCGCGTTCGTGCATTATCAAAATGTGGTCCCCTCTCTTGCTCTTTCATTACCGGAGATATATAGACAATAGGGTTTTGTAGAGATTTAGACAATTTTAATTTTATTTAATTAATTAAAATTATTTTTAAGATCTAGGCATCTTCAAATTGTCTCCTAAACAAGTATACTTCAAAAAGTTAACCAACTTTCAAGCCAATACATGAAAAGATGTCGGAAGCCTGGATTTGTTGTCTCATCTATCATCAATTTGGTTCATTTTTTATTACCATAAGAAATTGTTTGTAATATTTCACTAATTTTGAGAAAAAAGAAGAGTCCTACATATTATCTGAGATGGAATTTAAAGAATTTGAGCCGCAATTTAAATCCGCCAAAACCCGGTTTAAACTAAGCGCCAGCTTAAATCTTGAAACATTTGATACAATTTTAAGTGGAACCAACCATATTTAAACCACGGCTTAAATTTAAACTGCTGCTCAAATTCTTTAAATTCGGCAACTGATCACTTATCAATTTATTCTTAATAATTCTCGATGCATAATAAAAGTTGTATCAAAAAGCCGACAGATAGTTAAAGTTAAAACAGAGGATGGGCAAGCGCTCTAAAAGCCGTGTGTCAAAAATAATGAACTATTTATTATAAGAGCCACAGATATTAATCAACAGCTAAACATTGCTGGATGCCAGGGTCTAGTTGATCTAGAGGGATGGGGGCATAAACAGGTATGGATCTCCCCCCTCCCCCCAAAAAAAAAAAATTCTTGTGATTACAAAGTTAGATGCAAGTTTTTGTTAAGTTGGTAGCCATTTTTACGGGTTTGGGTATGATAATGCATTTTTTCGAATTACTTCGCTCTAGTTTTTTAAGAATGCCAAATATGTAAACTGCTTCATCATAGATAAAGATAGACTGATATTTTGATTAATTTTATTTTTTAATATATCGGATAAAAATGCTAATTTTATGTATTTTTTAGAAATATTATCTCTGTCGTTTAAACTGCAGTTTGAAAACTCAATATGCTGAGAAGTGTACTGATCCTTTACTTCCTAAAAACCCTGAATGTACCCATGTACCTGGTAAGCCATCAGAGAAAACATGAGACACAGAGATGGCCGAAATCACGTCCATACAGAAAGCAATCCCAAAGCCCTTATTTGAAGGCGAAACTACGGGTTTAGTTAATCATAATTATAAATTATGAAATTGTTGAACCTAATTTAGATAATAAAAGTTCTCTAATCATTGCAACATTTATTTTATTTTAAATTTAGAAAAAATGGTAAATTCTATTAGCAGGAAATCATTTTTTTTGTTAAATTAAAATTTTTTTTAAAACATTAAATGGGGTTTTCTTCATTTGTGACTAAGCTTTTTTTGGTAGATTTTTTAATTTTAATTTTTAAAAATTAGTTTTATTTTTGGGGATTAAATAAGTTTATATATTATGAGTGAATATGTACCCACAGATGATTCCAATGAATAAGTGGATCTGGATAGAATAAGGCATCATGGTAAAAATAAAGGATCTGGATAGAAAAAGTGGATCTAGATAGAATAAAGAATTTGAAAGAATATTGGATCATGGTAGATTAAGGGGATTTGGAAAGAATATCTGGATATAATAAGGGGTCTAGATGGAGTAATGGATCATGATAGAAAAAGGGATCATGGATAGAGTAAGGGGATCATGTAAAGCAAAGTGGATCAGATTTTTTTCCTCTTTAAACCCCCGAGAACTTATATATGTTCCTCACGATCTTTAAAGAGGAAACAGAGTGGGGAAATGATTTTTAAAGAAATATTTACTTCTGATAAATACAAATTTGATGTTTTAATAAGATAAGATCCGATATCTTATTAGCTAAGTGTTGAACCATGACATTTCAACTTTATTCTCTTAAGGCGAGATTAGCTGAAACTAATTAGAATCAGGTTAAATCTATCCTTTCAAAAGTGTTAAACTTTGATGACTAATATTTACCAATAATACAAACTGTTGATGATGGTTTGACTTTGAAGACACATATCCAGGTAATTTAGGTTAATTGCTTAAGTGGATAATGTTCCTTACAGCATAACAGTTTGTTACAGTTAAATTGATACAGAGACCCTCATTTCAGATTTCTCAGCTAGCTTACCTCCTCCCTTTTCCTCTTCTTCATCTTTAGGTGGCAAAGATTTCTCAGCTGGCGTAGCTTCTTCATCTACAGGTGGTGATGGTTTCTCGCTGTCGCTGTCTGTGTCTAATATGCTCAATGAAATTTTGTTGGCAGGATCGGGGGGTGGTGATAGTTCCTCGCAGTTGCTGTCAAATATGTTGAGTGAAATTTTCTTTAAATTTGGAAGATTGATTGTCCCGTGTTCCTTTTCAGAAGATTCCTCGGCGGAAGGTTCTTCCTTAGCGGAATCCTGAAAATAACGATTAGAACGATCTAAATCACATCGCATTATTAATGGGTAATCCAGTGCTTAGGATTTAATTTTGATGCAGATCCGGATCCTGGATCCACACTGGAAAAAAATGGATTTGAATTCAGATCATTTCTTTAAGATTTACTGAATTTTTTTAACAAAAAAAATTTTCAAATTATTCCTGAAACACTCACCTTTATTTTTCTCCTAAGTTTATCAATGGTTTGAGTTATAGGAGATACGTCCTGTCCCCCCTCCTCAGTAATATCCTTCAACTCAACACCATGCTTGTTCTTAAAATGTTCTCTCAGCTCGGACAGAAGATCTGGTTTCTTGAGAAGCCTGGCATTCTTAATCCCGTGTTTCTCTGTGGCTAAACTTCTCAGTTCAGATGTAGGTATTCGGTTCAACTGCTGAATGGAGAATATTTCTACTGGAGTAGAACACGAGCTGGGACCAGATTTCTTTCTTGGACTGCTCTTCATCCATGGAACAGAGAAAAGTTGGGGGTTATTCACTCGATATGTTTGATCATCTTTCATTTCAAGGGATTGTCATAGAAATTTTATTTTAGGTTTAATTCTTTTTGATACTTTTTATCCAAAAAATAATATAACTTCCAGGGAAAAAAACTGATTTTCTAACATGGGTGGGATTTAATTTTTAGAAAATTATACACCCTGTTAGGAAAAAAACTCGTAAATATTTCGAGCAATTTTTATTTTGTTTTTACGGGTAACTAAAATACAATGAAATGTCAAATATTTTAATGCTTATGTCTACTACAAAAGTAGAACATATTTCTTCTAAATTAATCTTTCGCGGGTGTCATGAGTAAAAAATGCTTTATTAATGAGAAAATAATAGAACGTTTGAGAAAAAGCAACAAAAGAAAGGAATGAAAGAAAATGAAGTTGTCTCAATCACTTTTATAAACTTAACGGATTTACAAGTAATCAAAAATTGGTAATTAGTAACTTAAAAAGGTCGATTTTTGTATAAATATCACAGTAACTTTACAACATTCTAAACAAATAAATCGATTTCTTGAAAGACTGAGCATTGAAATATAGATTTCATGTCTCTACGGCCAATCAAAACTTCCAGAAATCGATCGATTTTTTGTTTTTGTTTTTCTACTTTTGACAAGGTATTGGTTCTTTTCTTAACAGATTTCTTAATATGTCTTGGAAGCGGTTCCGGGAAAACGTCAGGTTTCGTATTTCCTCCCATCCCGTCATACATCTAGCAAAACAATATATTAATAGAACAGCTCGACTTAAAAATTTAGAAAAAAATTAGTTAAAATGAAATAAGTCTCACTTTTAAACGAAAAATGACAGAGTTGGAGCCCATTTTTTTTTAGAGTTTAAAGTTTTGTAAATAATCTCTAGGTTGTAAAATATTGAGGTATATATATGTGCGATCAACACACCCCCCCTCTCACAATATTTGGGAAAATGTTATGGTTTTGATAATTAGGTTAGAGGTCTGAGACAGGTCGTCTTTAGCTCCGCCACAGCGGACTAATTGATTGTGAAAGGAAAAACTTTTTTATACATTAACAAAATTTGTCGATTTTGAATTACAATTTTAAAAACTCTATAATATGCACCTGTCCTTTTTGAGTCCCAACTTCCATCAGGTTTATTCTCAACTTTGGTCTTTTAAGGTCTAGATGATTACTCTGACTTAATGGTTTTAAGAGATAAGAGAACAGAAGAGTAGAGAAGAGAAGAAAAGAGATAAGAGAACAGAAGAGTAGAGAAGAGAAGAAAAGAGATAAGAGAACAGAAGAGTAGAGAAGAGAAGAAAAGAGATAAGTGAACAGAAGAGTAGAGAAGAGAAAAAAAGAGATAAGAGAACAGAAGAGTAGAGAAGAGAAGAAAAGAGATAAGTGAACAGAAGAGTAGAGAAGGGAAAAAAAAGATAAGAGAAGAGAAGAGTAAAGAAGAGAAGAAAAGAGATAAGAGAACAAGAAAAGTAGAGAAGAGAAGAAAAGAGATAAGAAAACAGAAGAGTAGAAAAGAGGAGAAAAGGGATAAGAGAACAAGAAGAGTAGAGTAGAGAAGAAAAGAGATAAGAGAACAGAAGAGAAGAAAAGAGAAGAAAAGATAGAAGAGAATAGAAGAAAAGAGAAGAAAAGATGAGAAAAAAGAGAAGAAAAAATAGAAGAAAAAATAGAAGAAAAAAGAAGAAAAAAGAACAGAAGAGTAGAGAAGAAAAGAAAAGATAGAGGAGAACAGAAGAGAAGAAAAGATGAGAAAAAAGAGAAGAAAAAATAGAAGAAAAAGAAGAAAAGAGAAGAGAAGAAAGGAGAAGAGAAGATAAGAAAAGATGAGAGAATAGAAGAAAAAAAGAAGAAAAAAGAAGATGATCTTGCAAGATTATGTTAATCTTGAGATTATCAAAAAGAGAGGATCAAGCACTAATCCCGATATCCAACATTCTAAAGTTCCCAGCTCAGCAACGCTATCTAATTATACACTCTTTTGAGGGTACCTTCGTGAATAGAACAGTCTTTCCATGAAGAGGTTCATTATAAAACACTATACAATAAACCATAATCATAGGTTTCTCGCATACATTTTATTACTTAAATCATTTTAAAATTAAGAAAAAGGAACTAAAGAACTAAAAAACTAAAAAACGGTGCTCAACTATATTTAAGAGTGCTGTACTTTATAAAAGAATAGATTTTAAAAATTTAATCTTTAAAACATATTTTTAAAAAAAAATATGTTTAAGGATACACCTTCCCCTGCATCTGCCCATCTGCATGAAAACATTTAAACCTAGAAAAACGAAAATATCTTCTATATTATTGATCAGATAAAGGTTTCAAGAGTACTGTTGTGAATCAGGCATGTCATCTTTGCATTACGCATATTGTCCTTTAACAAGAATACATTATATTTGACAATCTGTAGTTTTGCTGGAATGAAAAAGAAAAATTTTTTAAAACAATTTTATTGATCTAATTTTTTAAAACGAAAACAACAAAAACAAAGAATAAGAAAATACAAATTTTAAGTCATTTCCCCTATTTAATGCAATAAAAGTATCTTTTTTTTAAATGATGCAAACGCAGTGCAGATATTTGGAAAATTTAGTAAAACTTAAAACTGTTTTTTTTTCAGTCTTTGAGAATCTGAACTAAGCACCGGTTTCTTTTCAGAGATTCATAAATTTAAATTTATTTACATATTTACAAATTCTCATTTTAATTTTGTTTTATACCATTATGATAGCAAAACTATAAAAAGCGCAAAATTAGCAATTTATCAAAATTTATTTATTCATTGTAGATTTTTTGGAGAAAAGAGGAGTAGTGGCGCTAAGCCACAATTTTAAAACTCCAACCACTGACTGAACTGTAAAGTAAAAAATCTTTTGATATTCTGAGTCGCAATTTTATCGGCTTCTTTCTGGAGCCATATTTATGAGTATAATACGAATAACTTGTCAAAATATATTTAAAGAGATAAAGGGTTGAATCGGCGACAGGCATTTAACTCACCAGTTCGGCAAAAGAAAATATAATATAGTTTCCCTTGACCCTTTCTCCGAGAAGGAAGTTGATTGACAAGGCTAATAGAATATTGAATCTAAATTTCTGAAAAGATTGTCTCTATAAATCACATTTTCATTTACTTCCGAGCCTTTTCTTAGACCTAATGTCTCTGGTATAAGAGGAGGGCCAGTGCTTCTCGCACCACTAATTTATGGAATCTGAGCCTCCTATCAGGAAAGAATGTCCCTTCGTCTCTAAAAAGAGGAGGGCAAATGCTCCATGGACCACTAATTTATCGATTCCGAGTTTCCTCGGAGGAAAGGCTTCTCTTTATCTCTGATAAGAGGTGGGCATTTGCTTCTAGAGCCACTGATTTACTGACTCCGAGCCTCAACTAAGGTCTGAGGTAAAGGTTTTTCTCTTGTAGAAGAAGGGCATATGCTCCAAGAGCCACTGATTTATTGACTCCAAGCTTCCTTTAAGGTCTGCGGTAAAGGTATTCCTTTAGTTTCGGGAAGAAGGGCATATGCTCCTAGCGCCACTGATTTATTGACTCCGAGCCTCCTTTAAGGTCTGTGGTAAAGGTTTTCCTCTTGTCTCTGGAAGAAGGAAGGCAAGTGCTCCAACTAGTATACTAGATCCACCCATTACAAGGTAGGGCAGAGGGGTATACACCGCACCAAGATCTAGAACAAATCATTGCATTAGTTTTAATTATGATTACATTTTTTTTGGATTTCTATCATTTTACCTGCAATAACAGGAGCCAGTAGACCTCCAAACCTTGCCAATGTTGAACAGAGTCCAACTGCTGAATTCCTCAACTAAAGTTAAGTTAGGGTTAAACGTCCGAGTGTCATAAAACGTTCTCTGTTCTAAAATATTTAAACCCAACGATACTTAATGGGACTGTTAAGGTAAAATGGTATAGACTAAAGCCTAAAAATTTTATGTCTTTCTGATGTCCCTGTCTCGAAAAATTAATGTAAAACTGTGTCCAAGTTAAACAAAAACTCATATATCAGTAATCTAGTCGACGGCGATGCGTGACCAGATACTGCACTGCCATTGGTGGAAATTCTGGTCACGTGACACAGATGAATCAAGATAAAATCCAATTATCTCTATTAAGAATGAATAAGGATTATATTCAAATTAAAATAGGAGCGTGCAAAAAAAAATCTAGGCACCTCTGGGTTATCGTAATTTTTGAGATTCATTCCATAGTATTACTATGATCTGATTTAAATTTGTTTACCTTAGTAGGAAATAGTTCTGCAGTATAAACATAAACCACGGCGTATCCAGCACTAGCTCCCATCTTCCCCACCAGGCCTAGCACTAGTTGTAATCCTCCCATACTGTCTGGAAGAAACCCAGCACTCACACAGAAGGTTCCAGCAACTATCTACAGATACTTACAGTTTTAACCAGAAAACTCTTGAACAGGAAGACGACTTTTAAACTTAAATTATAACGTAAGATAGTCCAATGAGCACGAGAAACAAAAATTATTCAGTGTAAACAGACCCATTTCTTGTAAAATTAATAGCTTTCTAACAACATCAACATCAATCTTGAAATTTTTCCGCCGGAAGCATTTTGTTGTAAATCAGCCGGAAAAGGGGTTTCTGGCACCCTTTACCGTCGAATAAAAACAAAAAATTTCCAGAAAATTTCCGGCAGAAACAGAGACTGAATTTCCGGAGGAAACTCTACAAAAGATATTTAAATTAACCTGACAAAGTGAAAGCACTGGTCGTCTGCCCCATCCTTCCATTATAAACATACAGAGCACGTATCCAGGGAATTCAACGCCGGCCATGGCCGCCACACTCGCAAATATATTCTCATCCCTACATTTAGAAACCATTATTCTTCACATAATTGGAAAAGATTTTTTTCATTATCATTTTTATGAAAGATGAAAAAATCTATTGGACTTGGTTATATGATAGAGCTCTTAGCTAATCATGCACCACTGCCCCTTTAGTTAAAGTAAATTCAACCAAAATAAACGCAGCAAATTATATCAAAAATCAAGACGACATTCAAGTCGTCCTGCATACTGTCATGTTTCGTGGGACACCCTGTATGTGAAGCATAAAGTCTGACCGTGTCAACCTTGTTGGCTAGTTCTGTTGATTGCACTCCTTAATTAATCCAATGTCCATGCGCCCAGCTCGGAAATTCAAATGTCCTACGGCTGCCTGTGTAATACACATGGGTATCATAATAAACATGCGAGTTGAGGGACGACTTGATTTTCGTCTTTCATTTCCGATATTTGATAAATGACATAAAATGAAATATAAAATGAGTGCAATTCTAATGAGCTTTCCAGCATGTGGTCTTCCTTCTTTGTATCTTTAAAATGGGTGGATCGTTATTAAACATTAGATCCGTTTTTTTGATTTTTAATAAACTTCCTAATATCTCCGTGAATTTTTAAGGTTAAAATATGGTTTACCACATTTTGGAAATTTCGAGACTAAGGAATAAGCTTGGAACAAAGACGATATAGAAGTCGTTATTTAATTTCCATGTTTATTGGGACACCCTGTATGTGCATATTTTTCCACGTGCAACACCGGGCTAAAAGCATGATTTCATAAGTGAATAAACGGTTGGAGTAACTGATTTCCATGTGCACCCCAGCTAGTTTTTTGTTTATTTTTATTTTTAAAAATTTTATTTTGAATAATTAAGATTGAAGACAAAATACGACATAAATGATAATACACAGTGAGAACCAGACAACTGTGGAAGGGGAAAACGACATTAATTGCAATGCTTTCATGTTTTTATATGTTGTTAAAAAGCAAATAGTTTTAATAAAACTTCTAAAGATTATGTGGTCTGTTTACACCAGGCAGTGCACAATTGCGTCTAATGTTCATATGCATTGGTCTATTTAAAGTCATAATTTGAGCTTAAAAGCCGATTTTTTTACTCCAGGGTTTTATTTTTATCTTATCTTAATATATTTTTAATGACAAAATATTTCAAATAAAATGCTTCGAAAAGACATAAATAGCCATAAATAATTTTGTGCAAAAATATGCATTAAATATTTTAGTTTTTGTTTTTAACATTAAACCATTAAATCTTAATCTTAACAATAATGTATATTTAACGCTGTTTTCCAGACTCAAAAAGTTTTTAATTCTGCAAACTGCTTCATCTATTTCTGAAGCAAATAATTGCAAAAGTTATTATTGCAGAGAAACCACAAATGAAAAAAAACAGTTTTAGAAACATAAATATGAATATCTTCTTCATCCTTGATCAGAAAAGCCTTTTAGGGGTGCCATTGTGAATCGGACATACACCTCTATAAATGGAAGGTGACTTTAAATTTCGTATACAGTCTCTTTAAGCTATAGGTACCAGGCTTAATTCAAGATATAGGTACCTGGCTGAATTAAAGGTATGGTACCTGGCTGAATTCAAGCTATAGGTACCTGGCTGAATTAAAGGTATAGGTACCAGGCTGAGTTAAAGGTATAGGTACCAGGCTGAAATCAAGATATAGGTACCTGGCTGATTTAAAGGTATAGGTACCTGGCTGAATCAAAGGTATAGGTACCTGGCTGAAATCAAGATATAGGTACCTGGCTGAATTAAAGGTATAGGTACCTGGCTGAATCAAAGGTATAGGTACCTGGCTGAATTAAAGGTATAGGTACCTAGCTGAATTGAGACTAAGACCGTAGAAGCAAAGAGTGATCACCACCCAGTTCATGGAGAGAATTATAAGTCGGGATAGGAGAAACCATTCAACAACTAGAAAACATGGAGGTAATAATAAAACAGGATAGGAGTTTTTCATGAAACTAGAAAACATGGAGGTAATAATAAAACAGGATAGGAGTTTTTAACTTAAAAATTGTAATTTGTATAAAATATAAAATAAAAAAAAACCCAATTTGTTAAAAAAAATACATTTATTAAAGAAAACAATAATTTTAATAAAATAAAAAAAAACCCAATTTGTTAAAAAAAATACATTTATTAAAGAAAACAATAATTTTAGGATGATATTTGATTGAACTGTTACCTATAGTGCCCAAGTTAAGATTTTCAACCTCAGTGCTAGGAGGGGTCTCCTACGTTAGTAAACTAACTTAATTAATCAAAAAATTAAATATTGGTCGTCGTATATATCAATACTAAGTGCACGACTTTTAACATTGTTTTCACATACTGTAAGCGTAGTTTTAAGTGACCCTCCATGTAAAGATGTCAATGCCCGATTTACAACAGTACTCTTGAATTCTTTAACAAATCAAAAATGTTGAAGATAACATAGCTTCTCGACTCGAAAATTGTTTAATTTTGAAAATTTCTCCGTTGCTTCTTACAAGCAAGAAATTAACAAGTTACTCTCAAACTTGTTCATACAAAGGGTATTACTGAGAATCGGGCATTGCCATCTATTTATGTCAGGTCATGCCTAAAATAATGCATACACACCCTTTATCTTCTTCACAGTGTAGTACTAGTAAAGTAAAACTACTCCTGAAACCAAGCACTGACGACCAGATTGCGAGTTTTTTTTTCTCAATATTTTTAGTTTCTTAGTTTCTTCCTTGAGTGCTGAAGTTTCTCCGGAGGCCGGACTGGATGGATCGGAGGATTCGGAGGAAGAACTAATATCTGACAATTCCAAGTTAATCGGTAGTTTTCTCTGACAAGCAGGGGGTAAAATGAAGGAAAAAAAGAAAATCTTCTTGTGAATCAGGCCATCTTTGTTTGGAGGTTCATTTGAGTATTAAAGTGGCCGTCCCATTTCAACTATAGGGTATGTGTACAATACTACTTGAACATATTTTTCAATGGACAATAGCTAACAAGGCACAGTCTTAAGTGTTTAGGAACATTTCAAAATAAGTTTTCATTTGAACACATTTTTCAATTCCAAAAATCGAATTCTTGAAAGAGAGAAGATGAATGATTTCTGGTTTTCTTGGGCGGATTTTGAATAAAGGAGCTTTAGCATTGATATCTTTACAATTAGAACAAGAAAACTGCGAAAAGGAAGACGACATTATAGCGATACTTTAGCATTGATATATGTACAATTAGAACAAGAAAACTGCGGAATATGAAGACGACATTATAGCGATACTTTATCCTATTTTATGTGTTGCATAGCAATCGTTTTACCAGTAACTATATAATTAAATCAGGTATTACGTTAAATTGGTCTGTTTACACTGCACAATTTTTTTGTTTTTTAAATGAAACATCATAATCCGCTTGCATTCCTTGTTTAGCTTAGCAGCAAATCGTAAAGAATTCAATGCCTCTTCTTGTAAACCTAAACAAATTCATTAAAAAAATATTTTAAAAACAAAAAAAGACTTTACATAGGATGAGAATTTGTACGGAATTTGTACGAATTTGTACGAATTTACGGAATTTGTACGAATAAACGGAATTTGTACGAATTTACGGAATTTGTACGAATTTACGGAATTTGTACGAATAAACGGAATTTGTACGAAAATACGGAATTTGTGCTGTTTTCCTGCAATAGTAAACAGGGTTGGTTCTTTATAATAAGCCATTAAAAGGCAATAATAATAAGTCATAATATTTTAATGGCTTCAATGCGTTTTAAAGTCTCATCCTTTGTGGTTAATCCTGTATCGTTTAAAAAATCTTATAATGATCTTATTCTTTGAACTTAGAATAAACATTTGGCTTACTGCCGTATACATGATGTGTAGTGAATATGATTGATTCTAGAGAAAACTCTGAAATAGGAAGACGACTTTTATAATTCAGTTATGATTTTAAATAGTCTAATAAGCATGGGGCACAGCACTTGTGCAGTGTAAACAGACCCATTTCACTTAATGAGTTTTAGTGTTTTCACACACAATGGGCCTGTTTATACTGTATAGTTGCTATGCTGAACATGGCGTCAAACCTTATAAAAATCCAACGTATAGAAACTGCTACGTATAGCAACATGGGGTATTTTCCGGGAGAACATTTTTTATATTTTTGAGTTTTTGTAAAACATTGTAGCTTATCATTATCATAATTTCTATTTTTTTAACATACCCCAGACATGAAAGGAGCAACATATTTTAATATGTACATTTGTACTGCTCTCTATTGTATTTAATGTTCCTCAGATTTTATTATGTACTGACAACATGATAAATGAATGATTATATGGTTATACATAAATCTGCATGTTACTATTTAAAAAAATGTTTTATAAAAATGCTATCTACAATTTTATTTTTAGAAAAAAAAATTTCTCAAAAGTATTAAAAAGTTCTCAAGTAATGCGAATATGATTTCATAAAATTCCGTTTTACCATTTAAATGAAAGGATTTTATGAAAATTATATCTACTTTACACTGATTTCTCAATTTAATTTTTTAAAAATATAAAAAATGTTCTCCCGGAAAATACGCCATGTTGCTATACGTAGCGATTTCTATATGTTGGATTTCTATAAGGTTTGACGCCGCTGAACATGTTCATTGGACTATATAAAGTCATAACTTGAGTTTTAAAGACAACTTGCATTACAGAGTTTTTTGGTTATCACCGTATACTTTACCTTTAGTGGCTAACCATCGTGGGCTTTCTGGAAGAATAAATTTGTACGCTAGCAGAAGAAAGTTTGGAAGAACAAAAACAAATTGAAGAGTTCTCCATGACCTAAAAAATAATTTGGATTTTTTTACCATTTCGCACTCCTGAATGCCGAGTCCATTAGCGTCTGATCAAATCAGGGTTCAGTCATGTGTTTGTTGTCTATTCTGAACCAATAGAAATAGTCTGGCGTTATAACATCTATCTTTCTATCTATCTCATCCAATTAGAGTTAAATGAATCCTTCAATCGGCGCTATCAGCAAATGGAAATATTTACTTCTACTGAAACTGTAGTGAATTCGCATTTTTTTCAGCAAAGAGTGAAATACAACGCAAAGACGACCTTTAACAATTGTAAACTAAAAATCTCGAAAAAATTAGTTTTTGCAGTTAAATTGTTGTCAAATTATCTCATACATTAAATATTACAATTTGATTGCTAGTTGTCAAAAAAAAATTTTCTATTTAGGACTAATGTGACATGTCGTCTTTTGTCTGGAATAAATTTAGAAAACGCCGTCTTCATATTCTACTTAAACAAATGTCGTCTTTACCTGATAAAATATGAGACCCCGACGACCCAGAGGAATCCTGTACAGAATGGAACCTGGTCCAGAACAGAAACTATAAATATAAAAACATTACAGGCGCGTTGTCAGGAAATTGTCGAGAAGGGGGCTTAATTATTTTTCTTTATAGGGGGGGGGGGGTTCATTTTCAAAATGTGGTCTGCCATTTTGTACTTAGACAATTACAGGAGGTATGAAATATTGCGTTCAGGATTAAACAATTTCTTGGTTTTATTTAATAAATGGAAATACAAGCAAAATCGGTAATTCTGACAGCAGAACACATTTTAGAAATGGTAGGACTTGGGCCATCTTGTGATTATTGTTACATAAAAAAATATTTCTAAATAAGGTTTCTTAACATGGATTTCTGAAACTATTTCTTCTAAAGTCAAAGACGTTTTCAATCAATTCATATTAATTCCGGCTTATTCAGAGTATCACTGTAAATAAACTGTAGCCTACAGTGGTAGTAGTTAATAAATTCTATACTTACTTTTAGTTCTGTATCTAGGAGCTGTCCACTCAAAAATATAAACAAACCCTACAATCATAAACTTAAGATTGAAAATATATTTTTTAACTCAAATTATTTGTAGCAATTATTGCTTAATCACTATTTTTAGCAGTTAAAATTATCAAATAATATCAAACACTGTTTTTGAGAGACACCCTGCAATCATTAAATACTGCTTTTGAGAGACACCCTGCAATCGTCAAATACAGTTGTTAAGAGACGATATAAGTTTATGCCTATAAGAAAGATCCCGATACCGCCAGCTGAGCTGATCATATTCATCAAGGAATACATCAAGTAGTTCGTCGAAAAGATATTCACACCCTAAGAATGTAAATTTAGGATATTTAGCACAAAGGGAGTTTACTGCTATTGAATATTTGGGATAACAACTGGTTTCAAAACTGTTATTTGCAATATATTTTTATCCTAAAAAATAAATGGAAAAATGACACAAAATTTTCAATGTTGTAAGAAAATCAAATGGCATATTAACAATTTTGAACACATTTCCTTTGATCACACTTTGCAATATTTTGACCTTGAAAGATAAATAATAATTCAACTATTTATCTACTAAACCTGAGCTAGAACTAGAACCAGGCCTGCAACTGTAAGACTAGGAACTCGACCAAGTATATCAGACATCCAACCGAATACAAAGGAACCAACGAGCAAACCTTAAAAGTATTAAAAAATTTCCAAATTTTTTTTTTTTTGCTTTTTTTCAAGATTGTTTCAATAAGGAAGAATAAATAAAATTATGTTAATTAAGGTATAACTTTCACTGATCATCCATGTTCAGCGTGGCATATTCAATTCACAACGGAACCCTCTAAAGCTTTTTCTGATCAAGAATGAATAACGAGATTTTCTTGTTTTTCGAGCTGAAAATTTATTATTTTTCAGTCGTAGTTTCATTGTTGCAGTGACTTGAGGATATATGAAGTACAGTGACAATGGAGGAATTGTAAGAATTTAACATCTTTCACACTAGCAACACGAGGATAAAGGTTGGGAGGGTACTTTTATAAATTTCTATACCTGACATCCGCAGCACCCCACTTAGTGTCTAAAAAAACTTTATCTATATTTGAATATCTTTTTAAAGATTAAACTTCTTAAAAAGATTAAAAATAAGGATGGGAAACCACTCACTTAAAGAATGCTGTGCCCAAGGTTCTAATGCAAGGAAAGTTAACCGCGGTCCCGTATACTCTGCGTACATATTGAAACCAGTTCTCTTTGGGCTGAATTTGTAAACAAGAATAGATGCATCAGTGCTTGTTTAGTATCCGAGGAGGTCAAAAGCATTAAATCATGATAATTTTGATAATTCACATAGATTACTTTGACCAGAATATTCTATAGATTATTTTTGTTAAATCTGCGAACGAATTCGAAAAAAATAAAAAATTCAATATAATGAAGAAAAAACAAAACATTGATTCTAACATTTTTTCTATTGAGAAATATGTTCCTCAACATATAATTAATTTACTGTAGATTTTTTAATACATTTTGTCGTCGTTTATACATTTTAAAAAATCGATTCTGAAAACGTAACCACCCACATGGATGATTTGGAACGTCGACTTTGCGCATAACCTCAGTAATTATACATCATTAAAACATTTAATATGTCTCAATTGAATTCTAAAAAAATTCTCCACAATACTACATTCTCAGTTCAACTACCATACATTGCCGGTCACTCCCTTTAAAAAGCATTATATGCTATATTCACAACCCTTTAGATCTTAATTAGAATTCGAATAAGGAAGATATCGTCGTTTATTTACCTTGAAAAGATATAATTTCTTTATTGCTAATTTTATTTCTTTATTGCTATTTTTATTTTTGTGTTGCTTTAATTTTTGCTATTTTTCAAAAACTATGTCTGAAAATGTATGAATTTGATATTAATGAATTAGGCTTTGCCATCTTTGCAAGAAGGGCCACTCGAAATTAAGATTACAACACATTTGAATATCATTTTTACAAATATTTAACCAACCTGAAGATATGCAAGATCACAGGCTATATTGAACTCTGTAGAAGCAGTTTTGGTGAAAACGGATGGATCAAAGGTATAAACTGAACACTCCCCTTCCCCCTCCCCCATACATCTAGACCTATTATAATTCATATATATGAAAGGTTTAGTAAATATAGATGGATCAAAAGTGAATCAAATAAATGGTTTTGATGCGTTCAGACTTGTATCTTCTGTCAAAGTCGAAATGTTGCAAAATTGCAAAAAAAAAACTTACAGAAAATTAAATTTTGAATTACATAAGACCTATATTAGCAATGCAGCAATGGGGGCCGAGCGCTGCGGCTAGATCAGGCTAGGGGGTAGAGCGCTGGGGCTTGGACAGACTTAGAAAATTGCACATTTGGGAAGTTTCCACCAGGGAAAATACCCCTGGGAAAAGGCGTTTTGGAAAAAACCTAACATTACATTTTATGGTTCTAGATTAGAATAACAATTTAAAAATAACTTTATAATGAACTTTAACCTATTGCCCCAGTGCAAGGTTTAAGATTTGTTTTTCTTGAAATATTCTACTTCTTTGGTGCTTTTCCTGAATTTTATCTTTTTCTCGAACACAGTTTTGAAAAATCTAACAAAGCCTTTGAAATGCAAAATATTTTATCCAATTTTCCATTTTTGTTGAAATATTATCAAAATTATGAAAAAACACATTTATTTATAACAGAAAAAAAACTAGTACGATATAATTAACTAATATCTACATTATTACATGCACATTAAAGATGATTTAGACCAAAAATAGCGTAGATATATACTTCAGGTCAGGGGGATAGTATTTGTCAACATATTAATACGATTGTAAACAAAGATAAGATTTTCCTGGGCTGGCTTGTTTATTATTATTTGTTTTTTTTTCCATAAACTAAAGCGGTCTAGTGCGTCATACAGTGGTAGGCGATTATATCAATAAAATGTAGACGACTTTTGATTTTAATTTTGATTTATATCAAGTTGCTTATCAGCATAGATACACATACAATCCAAACTTAAAGGGACAGACCGGCTATGTAAGGGAGTTAAACTGAGTATGCAGTGTTGTGGACAAATTCTTCAGGATTCATTTGAGACATATAACACATTTTCACGATGTATAATTACAGAGTTTGAATTTCAAACGTTCAAAATCATGAATTTGAGTGGGTACGATTCAGAATCGGCTCTTTTATTATTAAATAACGACGACGAAAAATATATTAAAAATTCTATAGTAAACTAATTAGATGTTTAGGAACATATTTCTCAATAGAAATTTGTCAATAAATCGAAGTTAGAATTAATTATTTCCTTTTCCATCATTATATTGAATTTTTTATTCTCTATTAATTTGTATGCAGATTTCTTCAAATTCTTCAAATGCTGTCTTTTTAATAAAAATTCCATAAATTCTGCAGAAAATCTTTGATTAAAGAGAGATTATAGAAACTAATAATTAAATAAGATTACTTATTTTCGATAGTTGATTTCTATTTTCTCAACCGGTTCCTAAACATCTTATTAGTTTACTGTAGGATTTTGTTTAAATTTTTTGTCGTCGTTATTTATAGATTAAAAAACAATTCTGAAAACGTAACCACTCTTCTTCATTGTATTGATATAATCGCCTACTAGTGTTGTAAAATGTACAAATAAAATATATTTTACCCCCAACTTGATGATGCAGAATATTAAAGGGACTGTAAGCGTAATTTCAAATGACCCTCCATGCAAAGATGTCATAGATCGATTAACAACCGTACCCTTAGAAGCTTTGTCTGGCCAAGCATGAATTAGATATCTATGTTTATAATTTTGAAAATTAGTTTTGATTGCTTTACTACAAAAATGAATTGCGCATTTCTACTGCGAAAACAGTTTGAAAAGGTACCCTACCCTACCCTAAAGGTAAACCGGACATCGCCATTTTTGCATAAAGGGTTACTTGAAATTGCGCTTACAGTCCCTTTAACTCTTGTATAGTTGTATAATTATATAGAAAACAAAACCTGTTAGAGCTCCATACTTCCAGATCAAATTCTGGTTTGGTTTGGTTTTCCTCCAGGTCGTCTTCACAGTAATGTTTGGGAGTAAAGTCGGTGAATATGGAGGAATAAACTCCTAGAAAATAGTTTTTAAGATTTAGTATTTTTATTATTATTATTATTATCACCATTTTCAACATGTTTGAATTCGGGATAAAAAACTCCAATCCCAAATCCCTTTTTCCTAAAATTTAAAACTACTCTCGTTTACTGCTTTTAGTTCACTTAATGTGTTAAATAAGAAAAAGTGCAAAAACATGTTTGCGTGAACGTGGCCATATTATTTTAGTGACCGGTAATGTTTTTCTTAGATATATGTACGTTTTCAAATAAACTTTTAATATCAAAATTTTAAATATTTGATAATTTGTTTAGAAATGAATGTAATGAATCAGCAATATTCACTATGCATGGATTTTAAATGACATTTAAATATGGCTTATTGCATGAATTTAATAAATGTAAAGCTAGGCAATGTTGACAAGGAAATTATAGTTAGTTCTGAATTTCATTTGAGCTTTTTAGTTTCTGAAACTGAAGCTTTTCGCTAACATAAATTTGTTTTTTTATATGTCAACAAAAAAAATGTGGGCCCGATCAGTTCTGCTGTATATATATAGATTATCTGATAAATTATATAACACCCTGTACTGCATACAGTCTACTGCACTTGTCTAATGCATTTAATGCAGCATCTTTAGCGAGGTCCTGATGCAACGAAAAGACGAAAATAGTTTTTGTTGGGGGGGGGGGGAAGCTTGAATTCCCTCTCCCCCACACTATTTTTTCTAGAAGGAAGATACTACTAAGTTTATTGAAAAGTTTTCCTTTGATTTTTTTTATACAGTCTTAACACTTTTCTGTTAACATTAACATAAACAAATGACCAAGAAAAAAAAGTTGAGGCTCAACAAATACTTTTGTTACCGTTATTTAAAGGTTTAATTCAAAAAATTCAATTTAAATTTTGATAATTTGATTTAATTTGATAAAATTCAATTTTAACCTTATGGCACGCAATAAATGCAATTAATTATTGCGCAATTTCTTTCAACAACAAAATATTCAATTTAAACATTAAACTGAACGAACTGAACTTCACTAATATTTCAATCTCAAATGCTAAGAAAATTGAATTTAAACTTAAGATTTTGTTTTATCATATTCATGTGCAGCATGATAACCAGAAACTCTGGTATAGAAAGACGACAGTTTAGACTCAAGCAGACCCATGCAACTGGATAAGTGATTCAATAAGTTACTAAGTAATTTTGTTCGACTTGTAACTATAATATTAAATACACTGTGATGTTGTCTTTCTGTTCCATAGTTTTCTGGTTGTCACTGTAGCAAAATATCTAATTTTGATTACACAAACCTTACAATTTTAACCAAAAAAATTTCCTGTTTTAATGTTTATCCAATATGAACAAATGAAAAATGTATCCTATTAAATTTTTAATTAGTAGCTTAACCACAAAAAACTTTGAAATTTGAAAACTGTTGAAACAAGTGACACTAGAGCCTCGATTATTTAAAAATCAACAGAAATATTTAATTCCATTCTTGTATCTGCTGCATAAATTTGTAAGTCGAACATTTAAAATTATTGATTTTTAGATAAGAAACCAATTCCGATGCACGCAATTCCGCGCAATTCCGCGAATATCTAATTGCTTCCTTTTTCGCAATTATAGCGCTACAGAATTTCGATTGGAAACCCTGGTTGCACGCAATTCCGTGCAATTCCCCAAATATTTAATTGCTTCCTTTTTCGCAACTATAGCGCAATTGCGCGCAATGAAATGACGCAAGCAGAAGCAACCATTGCGTGCAATTCCGCGCAATTGCGCGCAACGGAATTCCGATTGGAAACCCTATTATTAAGTATATTTTGCTAAATTTTACTTATAATACTTTCTCTAATATATAATCTCAAACATGAATCTGATATTTAAACACATTTTAACCATGTTCATTTAAACTTTGAACTTAAACCTTCCAAACAACAGTGATGATATGTTTAATTTAAAACAATACTTTTCAAAATTATGTCCGATCATAATTAAAATGAGATATTATGTTTTTTAGCCATAGTTAAAACCAAGGTTATAATGCAAGGAAAGTTATTTCAGAGGTGTACGCATCTTTTGTACTGCAGTGTATGGCTCTGGGCGGTAATGTAAACACAAGACGGATGTCGAAGCCTGACATGGGATCTATCTTTTATAAAAAAAAATTAAAGGATAACTCTAGAAATAAATAAAGGAATTCTCTAGAAATAAAGGGTCACGTGAAGAGAAGTTCCAATGAAAGGCACTGTCCCTTTTTTAAAATAAATAAACTAAAAATATACAACAACAAAACATATAAATTTTGTCTTCAAACATGACACGAAGCGCTCTGATTTGTTACCTGTAGCCATGGCGGATTGAGCGTAGAGAATAAAAAACCCAACAAATAATTGGAAAAGTCCCATCCGCCCAACATCCTCCTTAATTCAAATAGATAATGAATATTCCAATTAATTATTTAAAATAATTATTTTGTATCCGTAATTCTACATCTCATGTCATACGTAAAATAACCATGTATTATCGAAAAAACATTGGCAGAGATTTATTTGTTAAATTTAATTTTTAACTCCTTCATCTTTGCAACCTTAGATATTTTAAATTATAGAATACTTCTACATCAAATTGCAAAGATACAGGGATGAGAAAATGAGAGTTTCAGTTACTTTCAGTCGTTTTCTTGTTTGCTTGTTCGGCTAAAATTCAATTCAGTTCACAGATGTATGTGAAGAGACGAAAAAACGGAATCGGTTTAAATTGATGAAATCGCATTTTTCGAAACACACCTTAGTGAATAAAAAAGCAAATAAAAACAGCTTTTTAAGTTTTCGATTATTTGAAACAGTTTACGTACATTAAAATCTCTATAAAAATAAGCATATAAATAATATTCTCTAAAAAAAATAATTCCCCTTGAAAATGCTTTCGTTTTTACTTAAGCAGTGCATAAATATTTGTACTTTGTTATTGCAAAATATAGATTTGCAAATGATGCCAACTACAGTCATCACCAGAAAAACCCGGAAATAATTGACAACAGAGGGCGGAAACGTCATGTATATCTGTCTGTACCAAAAGAATATGTGTTAGTGATAACGAACCAAAGGCATGCATACTGTAGGTAGATACAGTACATAATAATCTCGGTATTTGTACAGTCAAGGAGAGTTCATTTATGTATTGTTAATTGTTTAAGTTTAATATACATGTAATATATTATTTAGATATTTAAGTCAACACTATAAGCAACATTTTCATGCAAAGAATATACTTTGATTAAAGTTTACAATAAACTACTCGTTATTCAAGCTTAATTATAATTGACGAAATTGTTCTGCAATTTCCTTGACTGTAATCATGTTGTGTGTCTGTTCCAAATGAGTGTTTGTAAGGAATACCGAACTCGTTTGCATAGCAGTGCAACAGGCTTTCTCATGCCAGACCAGCGCCATATTTCCCTTCCCTTTATTCTTATTCCCTGATTGAAAGTTAATTTTCCGTCGTCTTTGATCTTTAAAATAGTTTGCGGCATTTATTTGTCATAATTTTGAAATATACAAATATCTTTGATAATATGATTAACACAAAATAGCCTTAGTGCTGCCATTTCCAAAATGTCGTCTGCTTTTTTTGTGCATTCAAAATTACCCGAAATATAAAGAGTTTTGATTAAATTTCATTTTTATGAATTTATATATTTGAATATTTGTGAAAATTAGATTGACAAATTTATGTTGTAGACTATTGCAAACGTTGTTTGCTTACTTGGCAATTAATTCCGGGTCTTTCTGGTTATGACTGTATAAAATAAGGTTATCCTGAAAAAGTCTAAAGATGATTCTAAATATTACAACTATCTGACAACTTTAGTCGCTTTGGACAGCTTTAGCTTCTTTGGTCAACTTTGATTTGAAAAGTTTGCTAATTAAAGATGAAATAAGAACAAAGTACAATTCTGTTTTAAATCTGAATATTTATAATATGTATTGCCTCGTAACTCAAACCGGCCGAACCAAGTGGGCTCTTGCCATAGATTAAGTATATAAAGATATTAAGGCAGAAAGAAAGGTCCTGCCTAAAAATATCTAATCTATGGCTCTGGTATTATCAAATCAGCGATATTCGAACTAAAAATGTGCATTACAAGATTGAGAGAAATTGGTTTGGACATCTGAACATTTCTGTGGAAGATAAAATGTGGTTTTAGTTTTAATTTATGCTATATACAGGGTGTCCCACGAAACATGACAGTTGGTCAATAGTTTTGAATGTCTTCTTTCATATGCTGTATTATTGTCAACCATTAACTATAAGATCTCTCGTCGTCGTTAACTTAAAATCCCCTCTCGGAGACACCAAACCAAATAATTTTAGTCCCATTTTCTTTGTTCTCTGGGAACGGAGTCTAAACACTTTTATTTATTGTGAATCCATTTCTAAAGTTTAAATTTAAAAAAACGTCTTAGGACTCTCCGACGATTTTACCCTCCAGATCCCTTATTAGATCGTAAGAATCTTTCCATTATAAAATTCATAAATTCATTGTAATAATTTATATGTTATTATCTATATCATGTTTAAGGAAATAAAGAGTTTCTCTGCATTATCGGTTTTGATTTAAGGGTTATCCCGTTGTCTATCTGTTCATTATTGAGAATCTTTTTGCTGTCCGACAACATTTCGATCTACAGAAGTGTCGAAGTTTCAAGAAAGCC